CAATAATTTATGGGCCGGGGGGGGGGTATGCCACCTCCCCCCATGCGAACCCTATGATTAAAGGGAAACTAGGCTAGGATATTCTAGGACTTCAGGATGTTCTGCTAATTAGCTAATCCACAAACCTTGCATGCATGCCGCAAGGGACCAAGCCCCGACCAAGCAATTCACACAGAAAGCAATTTCCATCCGTAATCATCAACAACCATATGAGCACGACTCGGCGTTTATCTTCGTTTTGTCGCAGAGTGTGCAGCGCAGAGAAGTGGATCCCTGCTCTGTGAATTGGCATGGGCACCTTGGGTCATTGCATGAGGCGCGATGTGCTCGGCTTTCTGATACTGCATTGGCAATGTCAGCTGCAGCTTACCAGCGTGCCTTGGCCCCGACCTCGGAAGGGCGTCCGAGAGCGTTTGGGCTTGGCATGGCTTAGCATGGCTTGGCTTTCTGGCTCCGGACAGGTGTTGACCTGCAGCTGGCACTGTGAGCAGCGGCTCCAGTCATTCCTGATGGCAAAGGCAAGGGCGGCACGGAATTTCTTTGAGTGTTCACGTTCTCACGCAGTTCGTGCAGTCGCAGGGCAGCCCGACCGAGCGGTCCCGCTCCGAAGTCAAGGCTTGAAGCTGTTCGCACTGGTGAGTTACTGGTGGCTGTCCGAGAGCATGTTTTCGTGAGTTGTCCGGAGCAGTCTGACAGCAGTCTTGCCAGATATGCTATCATATAATGTACTATATATGGTACCCCTCCAAAGATCTTGTATTTAATCTGTTTTCAGCTCTTTCCACCCATGATCATCTCCTCATGACCATCCTTCGACTCACGGTCGTCTCCTCATGACTAACAAAACCCTCCCTCACTTGTCTCAGATCATCTCCTCATGACCGCACAAACCGACCACATTGAAACCCAATGCGGCCCAATATTTCAATATGGCCCTCCCCGAATCCAAGATTCCTCCCAGGAGCCCGGTGCAATCTTGGATCTTCGATCTGCCATTTTGAAATTCATGTGTTTCAAGATTTCAGAGTGGTCCTGTGCCCTTCTTGGTATTATTATCTCCACGGCTCTTGTGACAGTCTGCGTGTGCATATCTTCTGCAGTCTGCATGTGCATATCTGCTCAATGTGCATAGCAAAGCAGCCTGAAGCAACTGCGTCATTCACGTTGCAGCCCTTCGTGTCTCAAAGCCGCTACTCCGCTTGACGCGCTATTTCACACAATGCGGATAGTTCGGACATTTCGGAAACTTGACGATTGATCTGAATTATCCGAAATGAGCCATTCCACATAATTTGGATAAAGTTGGTTAATTTGGCTGTTTCCGAAACTTTTCGAATTAACCCATATGAGCTATTTTTAATAATTCGGATAGTTTTGATGTGCTGTTTTTTCCAAAATGAGGACAGCAAGAGGCGGTTAGATAGGACCAACTCTCTTATAGGCTATAGGGCTATAGGGTATATATAATGTATGCAGGGGCTATCATATATAAGGGGTATTCTACCAGATATTCTACAGAGCATTCCGGATGGTATTCCATGCCGCATATATGCACGAGTATTCTATCGCACGTTCTATTGGGTATTCTATGGGGTATTCCATGAAGTTGTGTTTAAGGTATTCTAAAAGGTGGAAAAACAGTGCAGGAAGGTATGCGATAAGGTATCCTATAGGCTACAGGGTCGTCAATAAGGTTTATCTAGGGTATGTAGAGGGTACTCTATTACTCTATAGGGATTTTGCCTAGGGTATTCTAGAGGAAATTCTTTGAGGTTTGCAGATAACGTATTCTGCAAGGTATTCCAAAAGCAACTCGCCTAGATTCCTGATTTCTTTGATGGAAATCCCTCAGGTCTTCCTTCAGAAAAATTGGTGCCATCGACCTGCTGTCTTCCGAAGGGTTTCCTTCAGTAAAGACGTGCTATCGAACCGTCTTGCTATCCGTTGCAAATTCGGACAACAAGCAGGGGCGGTTCGACAGCATCAAATGTTGAGAAAGGTGTCGTTTCAGAAAATGTGGTGGTATCGAGCCGCCGCGTTTTCCGAAAATGAGGACAGCGAAAGGCGGTTCGATAGCACCAAATTTCAGATAGGGTATATGTAAGCAATACATGGGCTACCATATACATGGGGTATCTATAAGGTATGCTATAAAGTGTTCCAGATGGCATTCCATATAGCATATATAGGATACAAAAGGACTATTTTATACAGTATTTAATCGCACGTTCTATCGGGTATGCTATCGGGCATTCCAGAAGGTATTCTGTAAGGTATTCCATAGGGTGTATATACAGGAACTTATTCTTTAAGGTATTTAGAATTGTATGATGTGGGCCACGGGGCACTCAATGAGGTATACAAGGTGTACAGGGGTCGGCGATAAGGCATTACTCATTACCCGTACCGTATTTTATATGACCCTGTTAAAGGTTTGTAGACAAGGTATTCTGTAAGGTATTCGATAGGCAATGCTCCTAGATTCGCGATTTCTTTCATCCCTTATTCAATAAGCTAAAGTTTGAATGGTGAATTCTCAGATCTTGGCTCCTCCTGATTTTCCTCATCTAACTCGTTATCTATCGGGTATGCCATAAGGTATTGTATACGGTCAACAAAGGTTATCCTAAAGTATTCTAGAGGATTCTCTACAGGGTATACTTGAGGTCCACAGAGGGTATATTACATAGGCGGTCTTCTGTAAGGTATTCTACTACAGGGTCTTCCATATGGTATCCTGCAGGGCATTCTATAAGGTTGGGTACTCCCTCAGGTATTTTACAGCCAATATTTGGGAAGGTATTCTATAGGGTATTCTATATGAACAAGGTAAAAAGAGAGGTATTCTATAAGGTAGTTGCAAGGCTATTCTTCTGGTTCCTGATTTCCTTCATAGGAAACCCTTACCCAATAAGCTACGACTCAACTGGTGACTGAGTTTGCCGTAAACGCACTGCAAAGAGTAAACCAGCATAGATCTTTCGAGGTAGCATATATATATATATATGTGTATATATATATATATATGTATAAGTAAATAAATATGTTGCCCTGCACGTTCAAGACGCCCTCACAGCAAAGCTGACAATCAAAGGTAGCTAGCTTCGCATGACTTGTGTTTTCCAGGGCCTAAGGCATTTCTCGGATCCCTTCCACGACCGCAGTGTGGGTGGGTGCGCTCGTGTTGCTGCCAGTCCTTGCTGGCGGTTCTTCGGGGAATTCACTCCGAACTGGTCCCCACCGCTGCGGCCTCAGATGGGTATTCACAGTGAGATGACAGGAGCAAATCCGTTGCAACATGGGGCTGTTCCGGCTGCAAACTCCACCAAGCCTTAGAACATTTCGCCGAAACGTACTCACAATGTCTCAGGAGCGTGTGCTGTGGGAGCTCATGGGTCAGCAGCAACAACATTTCGATGGAACAGTGGGGAAGGAAGAGGCGGAGCAGAGCACGTCCAGTTCACCTTGTCCTTGCGAGTGCCGTGAGATCAGATCAGTGTTGCATATGATTTGTGTTTGGACGATGCTCTTATAGCTCACGGACCTGTCTTGGACTGGACTTGGCCAGGTGCTCTCAGCACTGGAGGAGCTGTTGGGCGATCTTGGACACGCTTGTGGTCCGAAGCGACAGCTTCTTGTAGCTCCTGGCTCCCCATGCCTCAGGTTTCAGCTGCTGTGCCCGTGCCAAGACCCGTTGTTGTCTCGCATGTCTGACCGTGTGAGCTACTGGGGGCGAGGTGCTTGCTGTGTCAGGTCATTTTCTCGAGTTCCATGTTTTAGAGCGACCAGTCATGGCTTCTCGGGCTTAGGCTCCTTTGAACAGTGGGAAGAGTCGCAGTATGTCGTTTTCATGAGCCGCATCAATCAGAATCAGAGCCGTGCTGTGAATCGCAGCGTTTCACTGGAAATCCGCCAGGTTTCCACGAAGAAGATGCGAGGGCATCGCCAGGAGAGCTCGAGGAGTGCTGTTGCGAGTGATGTTGGGTTTAGGGTGCCAACAGTGTAATTAAGAGAATGGGAGAACACAACAGCGGGAGACACACTGCACTATCAACAACAGAATGTCGGGTCGAGTGGTGCTAGAACACGCAATTTGAGCGGAGTCGGCCTAGCGCTAGACCATGCCAGCTGAAGAAATAAGGGACCTTGGCTCGCTGAGTACCCGGCATTCTTGCGAATATTCAGGTACAAGTAGCGGCTTTCGGCTGCTACTGTCGTTTGTGCTCGGGGAAAGCCGCATAGAAGCCCCTCGCATGCAGCCTGACCTTTAAACTTAGGGTTGAGGCTTTAAGGTTTAGTTCAAGCTTCCACAAGGTGGGTAAGTTGCGCGTGAAAGAGTAAGCACCTGCTATGAATCCTATTCCCTTGTTTTGAAAAGCAGTTTCCTTAGCGTTGTCAAGAAGAATCGGAACCTTTAAGCTCATAATAATAAACACTCATCCCCCCGCTCGATTGATTTCAAGCCCCGGCACGGTTGATTGACCTTTGAGGGACTGCGGTCCCAGTACTGCTATGCTCGCTGACTCTCTCGGCGAGCCTGGGAGGGCTGACAATTGGGCCCCAAGTCTTGTTTTCGGAGCCAGTGGGGAGTATGATTGAGTTTTCGGGATCGAGTTTTGTGATTGAGGGGGGTTGAGAATTGAGCTTCCGGGACCGAGTTTCATAATTGATGGGGGGTTTATCAAAATGGGGTTAAAATGATTCATTATGATCGGAAGTGGAGGAAGAGGAAAAGACTGATGCAGCTTTGAGCTTGACAAAAGAAACTTTGCCGGGGGCCTTTGCCCGCAGGGGAAATGAGCGAAGTTTGTGGCAAGATGGGAAGACTCTGGGACACATGCACTGGGCCGGGGACAAGGGGGGTTGGGCCGGGGCAGCTCTTGTCAATGTACCCGTGGAAATACCGTTGAGCCCCTTCTCGTGAGAGCGCTTCCGTGCATCTTGTTGGAGATGCCGGGTTGCCAGGAACTCGGCAGGCTTCGTCGGCAGTGCCAGCGAAGGTCTGTCGACAATTTGTTCGACGATCGTGGAAGGACGGTTGCCGGCTGCTCAGGCACACGAGAAGGCCTCGCGAGATGTAAGTCGAAACTACTCAACTACTCGTAGTTCATGAGGTTGGTCACGCCTTCGAGTCCATGCTCTCATGAATAGATCCGAAGCATGCACTCATTCTGACCCGCTACTGAGCATCAACAACCCTCTCGAATTGAACTGTACCGAGCTACCATGGTCCGGCTATCAGCTAGTGACCCCTGGAACCGGGTGCATTTCCCAGTGAGGTCGCATTTGCTGACGTGCTGCGCTGGTGGTGGGACATGCCAGAGGACCTGAAGCCACCTGAAGCCAGTGCCATTATGATCCTCAGACTAGCAGTGACTAGCACTGCATTGCAGCTTGGATGTTGCACTGGGGCTGCGTGCCCTTTGCAGGAGTACCGGGAGGCTGCCGGTCTGGCGGTTCCAGCTGTCTCCTTAGCCGTGCGATCTTTGTGCGAGTTTTTGCAGGCCGACGTCATGAGCTGCCTCTGTTTGTGGTTCTTCTGCTAGGCTCTGCACCAAGGCTTCTGTGTTGCGACAAAGCTTGCGACGGCAGCCGGAAGAGATGCCACTCCCTGAGATCACTTCGCTAATAGTGAGGTTTCGGTGCCGGGAAAATATGTTGGCGACAGCTGGATTTGGATAGCATGGTCAACATCGACCTTGCACAGTCTGTGCTGGACTGTCGTCCTTTAGCCTGTTAAATTGTGACGCAGTCCCTAGAAGCACCTGGCAGCGGGCTGTTAACCATGGTCTGCAGCCGTTCCATGTGTGTTGTGGTCTGAGGTTTCGTGGTGCGCTGCGTCGAGTCGCCGCCGAGCCAGCTTTTGCCCGGCAGGCGAGTCAGACTGGCTGAAGTTGAGGAGACTGGTAGACTCCGGGTAGACGGGCAGCTCATGCCGAATTGTGCGGCTTTGCATGTATGTCGAACTCTGGTGCTTCAAGCTTCGAAGCTGTTGCAGGCTCTTCGTGGTCATGTCCGTGCTTTTGCGGAGCTGAGGGCATTGGCCGTGAGGCGCAGCCTTCGTCCGTGTCGGTGTTGGTATCTATGCTTCGACGGGTGTATGGGCCCAGGCGGAACATTGAGAGTTTCTCCATCCGCTCTACTGCCGAGTCTCGCACCACGCTGGGGTCTTGGTAGGTGCAACTACAGCTCCTGCCAATTGTTTGCCAGGAAACGGGCACAGTTCACGTTTCTGTGCCCACACCGTGCCAAGGACGAGTGATGCAGGTGACATCAGCCTGCCACCCAGGAACAAAGTATGGCGATTGAATGCTGGCATCTCATCTTGATCCTGAAAATTCGTGCCAGGTCTGGCGACTTCGGAGGACCAAGCAGGCTTCCAGGAGGCAGGTCAGCAGGCTGATATGCATGGCGTGATGCCGACGCCAGCTATGGCTTCAGTTTCCGCTTGTATCCATTTAAACCATCGCTGAGAGGACGACGAGCCTTCTGACACGCCTGTCTCTCCGGCCCGGCTCGAGGCCCAATAGCAGGCCGATTTGGGTCCTGCAGTAAGATGTCCGGCTTCAGCAAAGTTGAGGCCATCTGGCTCTTTTAAGCCAGTCGGATGTTTGCCCATATCGTTTAGCTGAGACAGGGAATTGATTGGCATTGACATTGACTAAAAAAGGCAGCAGTAAGACACCAGGAGAGCGGAAGCAGTTTCCTGGATCACTCTTGCACCCCACAGTGCTGCAAGTTCTTCGGAGGAAGGTGGCAGTGCTGGGTAGAAACTATTATGGTCAGAGCTCTCTCAGTCAAGTCGCCCAGCTCCGCCAGCCAGCGCAAACGTGTGCTGCGCCGTGTGGTGCATGCGACCACGCGTGCCAGCTCGGTCCGTGCTCGGATGCCGTTGCCCAGCATTGCAAGTCGTGACACTCACGGCGTCTGTGACGGTCCGCAGAAAGGCAATTTCACGCAGGACCGAGGGCTCCTTGTCTAGGTGAGCCCTCGAGATGGGTAGAGGCAATTTCCATGGCGCGTTTCGCTATGAGCAGGATAGGAGCAATTCTCCAAGGGATGGGCAACTTCAGGGTGACCTTGTGCACGGTGCCCGAGACCTGCGTGTATGATTTTCAGAATGGGCAAGGAACTTTGAAACTCAGATTGAAGTGCTCTGCACTTGCAGCAGTGTCACTCAGGGACAGGAAGCTTGTGAGATGGAACTCTCACCGGGTGCATTCCATCCGGTGTCTCAGTACAGACAGCTTTATAGCAAGGAGACGGGACAATGCTGCCAAACTGTCTTTGTAGACAGTCTGCAGCTTCGTGCACAGAGGAGCAGTCACTGTGTCTTTGAAGCATCTGTCCCTTCAAAGAATCACTTACAACTCATCGCGTACTGCGGTTCAAAGTTCCCCCAGAGGCAAATCGCTGACTTGGATCGCTACGTGCTTTCAAATTCGGAACTACTAAATGTTGTTGCCTTTTGGGTGCTTGCACTTTCGCTCATCCTCAGGGTGGCTGTGAAATTAACAAACACGGGCGAGACACTCTCCGTGTCAGGCGTATGTGTCAGCGACATGATCAAAGACAGCACTGTGTGTGACGGGTTTCGTGAAGCTGTTTGAGACGCAAGAGTGTATCGCTCCGTCTGATAACGACCGCGGATCTGTGCCTAAATCTCAAGGTGCACGTGTTTTCCGCATCTTCTTACGGACGGCAGCAATCCAGTGTCGCCGACAGCAGTGCATCAGGGCTGGTTCTGGCTAAGCTGAGCTGCAAGAACGCATCACCTCGGAATGGGGAATTTAGGCCGTTTTTTTTCAGTGTATGTCATTGAGGGAGAAGGCATGGCACATCATGAGACCACTGCAGGCTGTGCAGTACCGAGCAGGTTCCGAGATGCTCCAGTCAAATCCAGCATGCCAGTCCAGCGTGATCTCTTACCCTGTGCGGTGATGAAAGAGTGCTTTGTCGGCAAGCGACAAGCGGCCAGGCCCTTGCGAAATGACCAGTACTTGCTGATGCCAGATTGAACCAACGACATGGCAGCCGTGTGCTCACATGTGTAACTCATCCCAGATCTGTCCACGTCTCAGACCACAGCCATGTATCGCAATAGTCGCAAGAAGCCGCAACTTGAGCCACAGCGTGCCTTGAGCTTCGGGTGCTGCACCAACAGCAGCCGCTTAGCCGGCTGGCCATGGGGGTGCGCGGCCTGCTGAGCTATGTGCTGCGGCATGCCGATGCGATGACCCAGCGCGTGGATCTGGCACAGGAGGCCCAGTACTACGGTCGTAACGGCCCCTTTGACCGCATCACGATGCTTTGTTTAGTTTGAGTTTATACAGCGGTGCTCGTGGCATGATTATGTCAACGAGCCGTAGAGCGTGGTATCTTAGACAGCATATGTTTAGGAGGTTGGATCCATGGAGACACTGGCAGATATCAGTTTGAATAAATGGTAAAACAAAGGTGAAGATGTCAGCTAAAGGTAATGCCGCATGCCATTGAACATCCCCAACAACGGAATGGCTGTCGTTGGGTTCACATGATAATATTTGGCACCAGAAAAGCTAATAGAGCTGTGGATGGGACGTCCATGCCCGGCCGGCATTGAAGACAGCATTTGCCGAAACCGGGCCGAACATCTCTAACATGCCTCTGAAAATGCATTTGGGTTTGCGCAAAGCTCCGGGAGCTCAATTTGAGCAGTTTATGGGTTGTTGCTGACTTGCTGAATTAGGACAAATTAAACCATGTTTGGGTGCGGGGATGGCGTTGAACAGCGTTGAACAGCAGTTTTACAGAAACTAGGGCCGAATGCGTTTAGCAGCTTGAGATTCACCTCCACCATGTCGTTTTCGGTGTACACTGCTTCAAAACGCATCTCCATCTGGGCAGCCTGACCTGCAAAGGTTGGCCGTCGGGGTTGCAGTTTCGACCAACCGATCTTTGCGATGTGCTAACCGGTGCCGTTTGCACGGTGTCTTGTCCGTGAGAAGCCTTCGGCTGTCGCCACCTGGGCTATCCACTGCTGCACCATTGTGCCACTGACTGACTTTGCTCTCCGCTCTGCTCTGGAAACTCCATTTACCATTCTCTCCTGCATCGCACCGTGCTGCGGTCCTGCACCCGCTCCTTCCCTTTGCGCTGCGGTAGATGTTTTGGCATTCAAAATCTGTCGAGGTAGCGAAGCTTCTTCGGCTTGTGTTCTTCTTCTCATTCAATTCTCAGCAGTATTTTCCAAAGCAAGCAGAAGAGCCCAAAGCAGGGTCAATGGGGGCATGTGAACACATACAAACCGCCCTGCTTGTTAAGACACACACACACACACCAGAACGACCCACAAAGCAAACGACTGTCGTATCTGGCAAACTTGACCGCGCTTACAGCATCTGACTCGAATTGCAGCTCGCAGTCGCTTCAAAGCACTCTCTGAGGATCTCACACGTACATTGGCAGACTCTTCGGACCCGGCCATGCCATAGAACCATACAAACGCCAGGACGATGAGCCCGGCTAGGCCGTAGGCCACATGTAGCAGGATCATCCATTTCATCACATTTGCATGTCGAGTCCGGGCTGCTTGCCTGTCATAAACACTGTTTTCGAGGTGTGACGTTGCTGGTGGACATCCTGGACTTCTGTGCTCGGTTTCTGCCGGAGGCACAATCTGCCGAAACTTGCAAAGTTCGTTTGTCGCGCACGGAGCTCTAGTCGAATGTCTCATCCTCGCTTTGCTTCAAGAACTACTAGAGGAATCAGGGCAATTGGGGTTTGACCGGTAGGCGTTGTCTCTGCAGGTGGATCGTGGCGCCAAGGGCTGGGAGGGAGATGCCACACTCCAGATCCTCGGCTCTCCGAAATTCTGAAGAACATCCATGACATCCTTGGAGAGATGTGCGGATATCTGCAGTCGTTTCCGCCAAGCCGAGTATTGCTGGGAGGATGTGAGACAATAAATAGGGCTGGAGAAACGGTTTTGCTAGTACTATTGGGAAGCAGCAGCTCCCAGGCACGGCGTGGTTTTCTTCCCGATGTGACGAGGGACCTGCCTTGACCTGTGAAGTACGACCTTCCCAGTCCCAGCACCTCAAGAACAAGCCTTTACGATCCTACAAGCGTTTGGGAATCTTGCAGATGACTGATGCCTTGTTTGGCCTCCTTGTTCGCGTGAACTGCTGGGCCTACCGCTCCTGACAACCAAGGGTCTGTGGCAGCGACTTCGTCCAGCATGACGAGGCGCTTTGCGAGCTCATCTTCGCCCTGCGGCATGCAGGCCAAAAGGGATAGACAGTTATGTTTGCTGGACACGATCTTTGACAAGGACGGCATGAGTGCAATTGGTAGGATTGCTTGTGCCGAATCATCGACAGTGTAGTTATGTGAAACGTGAAGCCGGAAGTCACCCGTGCAACATGGCACCTTGCACCTCATACGCGCACTTCGCAAAGCCAGTTGTGACGACGGTTTGTCAGAAAATCCGGAGTCTTAAATGGCTTCGTGTTAGCGGCATGTGACTTGAGACTCTTTTGGAATCCCTCCGGTAGGAACACCAGAATTAAAAAATCAACACTCTACGTCTGGCGATTGAAATCGAGACGATGATCGTCAGACTTTGGCATCCGAAAGCTTGGAGCTTCATCCTTTTACAGGCATTTACCTCGAGTTCTTTTTGGATCCTCCCCGCGGCTGCGGGCTCCTCGATGCGGCCACCAGTGCCTGGACAGAGGAGGCACCTCCGCCTGTTTTCTCATCGCGCTTGCTGGTTTTGTTCGTTGCTTTGGCTCACTTGGAGGGATGTGACACTTCGTGTCGTGAGGCTTTGGCTTTGATTTCAACTCTTCCGAGGAAGGATCTGCGCCACGCTTCAAACGTAGATGCCAGCTTTTTGCAACTAACTCTGATTCAAGGCTGGCGAAGCAGATGTTGCATCTGGCTTCCGGCCCTCCTCAGAGCCGAACTCCGGAAACAGCGCCGCAGGCCAAGCGCCGTTGCAGCCAGGGCCTGGAAGCTGCGAAGGCCCGGGGCAAATGGGAGTTGAAAGGCTTTGTCTGACAGCCCTAGCTAACTCATTGCCCATGCCGTGCCAGTGCCAATAGTTCAGACATTGCTACTATTATCACTATCATGCATGTGCCCTGTACCCGCATCTGGGTGTGGCTGACGCAGAGCTACTGGAATTCGAGTAAAGAGACTTAATCGAATCTGGTTCCCTACTGCAAGAAGCCACCGGAAGCCTCGCAACACGTTTCCCTGTGCGCGTTGCTCCCCCAGCACTAGGAGCTGTTTCAGCTTAGAGTCTAGAGCTGACCCTCGACGACGTGACCGGCAGCGTTGGAAAATGGTGGATGTCCTGTTGATGCATGAGGCAACTTGAACGTTGCTTAACCGATGCGAAGGAAAACAACATCATAACGAACGCACAGATCTGGCCTTGTGGCATCCTTGGAGACTCTTTCGAGGCTGTTCGGCAATGGTGCCGAGGAGAGCGCAATGATCTTCCAAACCTGGCAGAGGCCTGCGGATGGCGCTCAGGGACTCTGTGCAAGTAGAGTGATTTGAAAGCGGAGCCATGTCAAATGTATCATGTTCAGACTGACGGAACAAAGACACGTCAGGTCCAACACTCGTGGGTTCGGACCCAATCACATTCACAATTCCTCCTGTGCCTGAACTGATGGCTTGTAGCGACTCTAGAAACAAGCGGCGCAGCCTGGCTCAAACTTATGACGATAGCTGCTACGCAGGTACATGTCACCACGATTCGAAGGGCATTGGAAAGCCGAGCGACAGCGAGGGATTAACCGAGTGAGAGAATCCGAACCGTGCACGCAGCATGCAGCATTTGCAACAAGACAAGAGCATCGCAGAGCTTGCAGACGTCGGTTTGCCGCACATGCGGTGGCGGAGATGGAAGCTACCTTGCAAAGGGCCCAGCAAGCTTGTGTGACCGAAAGTGTTGGCACTCCTGCTGAAGCTTGAGGACAGTGTCAAAGCAGACTGCTGTGGGGCGGTTTCGAATTGATGGCTTCTCACTGCAATGCTGGCCTCTTGCCCGTCATGTGTAGGACAAGAACTCAACACTTCCACGTGCCAGGCTGTCTAGGAAGAAGGGTGATCCTGTCACCTCGGGTCCTATCATCGAGGTGCGAGTGCAAATAGCTTGTGCTAGAAGGCATCTCCCGCAAAACTTCATGCTGTGGTCGCAGATCGGTGATTCGAAATGGGAGATCCTGGTGTATCCTTCCGGCGCAGATCTCAAGAGACGTCTTCCCCAGACCATGTGGCATCATGATGCAGCGAGATTTGATCAGGAAACGAGCGGTGCAAGGATGGCTGGATCCGAGTATCAGTTCGATGCACAGAGGGCGAGCCTGAGACCAAGAGATGTGCTAAAAGGTGGGAAGATAAGTCGGGGAGGTCTCCAAGGTGAAGTTTTATCACTCAAACTCACTCTCACTCTTTCTCTCTCTCCCCTTCTCTGTCTCTGTCCTTCCCTTTGTCCGTTTCTTTTCTGTCTCTATCTCTCTCAGGCAGGAAGTGCGAGCTCTGTACTCGGTGTCCGTGGTCAATGCCGAGTTCCCGGCGGAATTGGAAAAGGGGGAGTTGTGCTTGTGGGGTCGCCAGCGCAGACGCTTCGGCTAGTCAAATTGTTACGAGTGCAGGGCATGTGCAGCATCAGTCTAGTGTCGAGGTTGCACGAGGTCGCTTGCTTTGTCAGCCAGCATTGACAATGATCTTCTTAGTAAACAGGCATGCGGCATGTGTTGTAAGTGCGCACCTCGAGTTCACCCTTCTGGACCCGCCAGGCAGGTGAAGTGAAGCCGGAATCCTAGCCTGTTGTACGCTTTTTTTTCGCCCGAGAGTCGGTCGATGAACCGTAACAAGTTTTCGAGCACAGGTTGAGCAGATTGGAGCCAAGGCACCGGCTTGAGGAAGAAGCTACGTTCACCAGCGGTGACGGCCTGCACTTCAGTGTTGTGCAGTTGTGCAGCGTTGCGGTACGAAGGGTCGCCTTCCGATCTGTGCACTTCCCGGTGCAAGTGCTGGGAAGGTTTTGTTTTGGTGTTGCCTCGGATTGAGTTTGGACCAGAGAGTTTGCAGTCCGTAGCTCCATAAGCAGCTTCTCAAGTCCTGGCTCTCGAAACCCAGCTGCGACTTTTGACTTGGCGTGGCTCGCAGGCTGGGGCTTTGACAACTTCATCCGCCAAGAGCGCCTGCCCATCACCAAGTCTGTTGAAGTGGCTATGGCAGTGACAGTCCATGACTAGATCCAGGTGTTGTCTAGGCTTCAGGACCGGTTGAGGGTGTTGGGGAGCGGGGTTGCACGAACGCTTCGATGGCAAAGCCCTTCACATTTCCCGAGTTGTCGGATCAACGGGTGGCAGTTCTTGACAGACTTCAAACTTCAATCTGTGCAGTAGTGGAGCAACTGCCACTTGTTTATGGTGCACGTTCTGCTTCAGCACGCTACTTGTCCACACAGTCTTTCAACCATATTGTTCGAACTTCACACAAAGCTCAACACCCTCAAGGACGGATCGAACGAAAGGCTTCGCAGACGATGTTGTCATCTTCGAAGCCACCGTCACGGTTCTTGGCCGGGAGGCAACTGTGGTCACAGTCACAGCAATTTTTTTAATTTGGGTTCGAGGTGGCGGGCCAACATGCGGGACATTCCCTTAAGTCTTGCCGCTTGCTGGACTAGGGATTGGCGTATGAAGTCATGAAAGCCAGAGCTTCAAGTAGTCACGTCGACGGCCCGTACTCCGTGCAATAGGACCGTAGGACCCTGCTTCACCTCCAGTGCAGATGCCGCATCGAATTTCTCCAGGAAATCAGACGCCAACCGATCACTGGAAGCGAGTCCAAAATGATTCACTCCGAAGAGTTGGCGTCTGACCTGAAGGCAACTTGCTGGACTCGAGCCATGTCACAATACCATCTGTTTTGAGTCCAGCCACAGGCATTGTGGGAATCTGGCCAACATGCTGCCCGGAAACCTACTTGGAAGGTTTTCGTTCGCAACTTGTGTTGCTTCGGGGTTTAGTCTGCGGATTTGACGATCCCTTTGTAGCGCGGGTCGGCGTTCAAAACTTGCCGACCCCGCATTCGGGAATGAAGTGGAGGGACAGCATAGCTCTGGAGGAAGTGTCGGTCGGTTGAAAACCCAAGTAATTATGCTTCAGTAAGATGTTAAGGAAGGGTCTAAGTCTATGAACGAAGCACTCCAAGAAATGAGACTGTGAAGTTATAGCCAGGAGACGAGTACTACTATCCACAAATGCAGTGGATTCAACGAAATCAACATAATGTTGAGTTTGAGCTATCTGTTAAATTTCTGGACAACCTCATAGCTGAAGCAGTTGATGTCAGGTCACCTACATTTAATTTCGGGCTCGTTAACAACACTGCAAAATATGTCACCGGCCGACGTCATATCGACAGTCTCCCGAGCGACAGCAACTGTAGTAGAACCGGTGTAGCATTTTCCAATATTGGTTGCATGTTGTATGTGAAGTGATTATCTGCATTATATCTAGATCTCTATCTACATGTGTGCAAATATGTATACAAGTAAACATGTGTAAATCTGTATATGTATATGTGTGCTTATGTGTATGAGGATGTATGTGCGTAGGTGTATGCTATGTACACGCATAAATTTATATATATATATATACAAAATTCACATACACACATGCATAACATACATACAGATCAACCCATATGTACACATACACGTACACGTTTACCACATAGATATGTGTACGCATGTATGTAGAATATGCTCCATCTGCACATAACATATAGATGGAGCAGTTTGCATTGACAGTCCCCTTTGTGGCTTGATTGGATGAAATGGGTGCCTCCCGTAATGTAAAGGTAAAGGCCTTGATGGTGGTCAGCTCGTTCAAGGTATTGGTCGTCCAATACCACGGGGCCCTGATAAAGTGGATTCTGCCACTAGCCGCAGATAAAACCATGATTGGCGACATAAGTAAGCATACAACTTATAAGGACTCTTGCCAGGCGCACCAAGTTTGGGCGCTTTGGGTGTTTCGTTTCGGGCCTTTTAGGCTAAACTTGGGCATGTTGGCTTTGGTGGACCGTTCCAGACCCCCAGAATTGGGCGTTCAGAAGCGGTTTCTGAGCATTTGGGGAGCTTATTTAGGGATCCGTATAAGAAAGATTCTATTGTTTGGGGTGCGTCACGTTCCCTGTGGTGAATATAGCCAGCGGCAGCGCAAGGGCACCTAAGCATAAGGATACTACTTTGGACGCACATCACAAAGGCCTCCATTTCGAACTCCAAAAAACCCTCAGTGTTTGCGAGATCCAATTGTTTATGTGCTTCGTTGTGGGGTTGTTAGATTTTTCACTGAGCTATTACTCCCGCGCGCTCCTCGTCCGCTCCTCGCCCGCTGAGACTGCCTCCAGAGACTGGCTGGAGTGCCCAACACACGAGACTACCGTGAGACTCCCTGGGGTGCGCTCGTGGGTTGTTACCTGTACCGGGACACCGTAACGCCAGTCACTGGTGTGACCCCATGAATCGTCGACTGACCTGAATCGAACACTCGTGTTGTGCTGCGTGTACGGGGGCCCCAGGTCCGTAACGCCGGTCACTGGTTTCCCCATGGATCGACATGAATCGAACACGTGTTTTGTTACGTGTGCAGAAAGCCCCACGTCCGTATCGCCAGTCGGTGGTGTGACCCCCATGGGTCGTCGAATGACCTGCATCGAACGAACACTTGCGTTTCGTAACGTGACCGGGGACCCCACGACCGTAACGCCAGTCAGTGGTGTGGCCCCCTGCTTTTCTGTAGGGTGGGGATGTTCGAAGTAAAATAATTGACGCATTTTCCAAACAAGGTTTCAAGTCTCTTGAAGTGTCTTTGTAAGCACGTTTTGAAACGTCACGTGTTCTGCAGGGGGCAGGAGTCCGACAGAAGCGCATGGAGTTGAGGGACAAAAGGCGTGGGGGTGGGGCGAGATCGAAAATCTGTCAAATACGCCGACCCAACTCGAGTCGCCAAAAATCAACCGGGGCCCACTCGGTCGTTGGAGCAGATCGCAGATTTCTTGCTAGTTAGGCGAAGCCTTATCCCGAACCCTGTGGAGTAAGTGCGTCATTAGGTGCATGCTGTCTGGCACGTAGATGCTTTGGGTGAAGATTTTTGTCGGGATGATATTGTGCTACAGGTCCAGCGTGAGGTGCCGGATTTGAGACGGTGGGGTTGGGTTCGTGGGTCGAAATTTCTGCAAGGTGTGCTTTTTGTCTGTGTTCATGCGGCAGACCAGGCTGTCCACGAATGGTTGCGCATGTGGACAAGTCGGTGGATGGATTGCAACAGAAAACGTTTCGTTCGTCCTTACAAGGGTGATGAATAAGTGGCAGAATGTGTTGAGTTTTGGAAGGGGTGTGAGAGAGCTGTCAATCTGCTCGTCGAAAAGGCTGAAGACTTGATGGTTCGAACAAGTGGGGGGCAATTGATCATGTGTCATCTTGTTCGGCGTTTTGCGGGCGTGGGGGACGAAGTTGTATGTGCAAACAATGGCTGCATGCCTTGGTGGATTTAGGAAATTTTACATGATTTGAAACGGGATCTTCCCAGGACCTGACGCTGCAAGTCGGCGAGACGCAGCACTCCCGGCTTGTGCTTCCGCCAACGCCAGAACTGAATCGAAGCTCAAAGCTTTCAAGCTTCAGTGGCGGTCGCCAGGCTGCAGGTCCACGGCTTGATCTTGGCGGCAAGGTGAGCGGCCCGGTTTCGACTCCGCAAACAGCAGGCAAACAGCAGCTTCAACGTAGCAGGTCTGCGGTCTTCTCGCGCATGCTGGCCTCTGACATGTCGGAGGCCTGCCCAAGAATACATGACATGCATGTTTCACCATCACTCAGTCAACAAAGCCTTGTGTTCAAACCCATCCTACGCACCTCTGCAATAGCACACTGAGGCACAGACCCCGAGAATTCGCGGTAGGAGCTGCCTTCGTGTTGCTGTCCCTACTGATGGCTTTGTCTTCGACTCTGCTGTGCCATGCTGGGCCCGCCGGCCGGACTTGTGATAGGGATGTCGTTGCTCGAAGTCGGCAAGTGGAGTCGAAAGCGGCTCTTCCACTGTTTATGAGAGCACACGTGATGCACGTGCGCATGTCTTCTAGTGACAATGCAATCATGCCGCATCAGACGCATTCGCTACTGTCCCTCGCAACTACGTGTATCCACTCAGAGACACACCTTTCCGTCGCATGAGACACCTGCAATCAACGGTGCGCATCACCTTCGTGGCGTAGAACACATTCTAGAGTAGCAGGACGCAAAGGATCGAAGCTGTAACATACGAAGCTGCATCCGGTCACCGCCGTCGGATGTCAGGGCTTTGCAGTTGATACTTGCAGGTCTCATTTTCGGGACTCTTAGCAAGACCTGCTCACTGAAGATGCGGCATCGGGCGATTTGCGTGGACTCAAGGACGACAGTCCACCAATGCTGACGAATGCTGACCAAGCAGACGTTCAGGTCGAGCGTTTTCTTAGCCTGGCTGTGCATCAACAAGCCTCAGCCAAAGCGCAGACATGGAATACTTCTTCTGGCTACAATTACCGACTCCCCTCAACTGCGAGACGCAGGCAAATTGTTATAGCTTCATGAAAAAAGTCGAGCGCAACCATGTCCTGGCAAGCAAAGCAATGAGGCACGACAAGGTCGTGGTTCGTATCGCCAGCCGGCAAAGAAGTCTCGCTCTGCCAACATCCCAAGAGCTGACAAGAGGCGCATCAGCCCAAATGATGCAACAGCCTAATGCTGATTAAAGGTCATGCCTCCAAGTTTCGATGGGCCAAGCGGTGTCTACCATCGGCTTCCACTAGCACATTCTGCTCGTTGTTGGATGATGTAACACTGCACAAAGCTTGCAAGCTTCAATCTCTTTGTCCGTGTCGTTCTTGTGTGGGAGCTCGCAGACAAGTTGCGCCTTGTGGTATGTTCTTCTCGGCTCCTGGATCCCACGGCGTGCTTTAGCGTCGAGCATTCTTGGAGTTTCAGGAAAGCTGGGGGTGCTACTCAGCTTCATGAGATTCCATAAAAGGTAGCTGTCCTGTAGTGGTGAGCCTTGTACCAGGCGAAGTCGAGGGTCATCAGGATAGTCGACGCAAGGAGCTCGGCCCTGTTGTATTGTTGGCGGGTATCAGAAGTTCGAACAGTAGTTCGAACCGTTTCCAAGGCGGATGCCGAGACAATGCGCTGCCTTTGTGAATACATGTACACAGGCCCTGCCCCGAGCAGGCTGGTGACCGTGGTTAGCCAGACTTTGGCAGGTACGGTGCGGAACAACCGCCCATTTGAGAATGCAGACTTGGCTGGGTCTTTATTGCAGGCCAGGGGCAGACACCTGCATCGCTGCATCGCAGTTTATCTTGCCAGTGAAGCTGCAGGCGGCAGCGAAGTACGAGGCACGTCATGGCGAAAGTTTCGCCCGGCTTGGTGACGTTTTGACCGTCACGTAGATTCTGTCCGTGCAGGTTCACGGGCTGGTGCGGTGGTGTTCTGCCAAGGTCCCTGCCCGTTGTCAGCCAGCTTGTCTGTCTTGATCCTGTCGGTCCCGCAGATAGCCGCAACTCTGGGCGTCGACACGGCAGCCGAGTGGCTTGTTCTCGCATCGCAGATCGGACCGCAGGCCAAGTTCTGGTGGGAGCGTTGGGAGCATAGCGAACCAAATCGGCTCCTTTTGCCGGACAGGCCGATGCATTGAAAACCAAGAGCCCCGGACAGCACATGGAGCTGCACAAGTCCGCTGCTGTGCATAAGTTTGAGCCCTAGGTGCGTTCACCTAGCGGCCAGCAACCTCTCAGAGGTTCAGGCATCCCGGAGCCGCACAGCGTTTCTAAATCTTGGTGCGGATAGTCCCGCAGCCAGCAGTCTCCTCAGTCCGCAGTGCTGTGCAGGTGACGGAGGGCTGGCAGCGCTTCATGAAGAATCCTCGCGTCCTCAACCCAGCGTGATGCGACGTGCGGATGAACACTCGGCCTCTGAATTTCAGGTGGTGTCGGAGGTGGCCCCCCTGTTGTTCCAGGCAATGAGTGGATGGCATTCGACCCAGTAATGCAGTGGGGGACTGTGGATTCCGAAAATGTGCAGGCCATCAGCCCTCCACCTGGAAAGAAGAGGCGGCGATCTTGCCCGGTGCCCTTGTACGGTACTGCGGCACATACTCGGCACCTGCATGAGCGATTTGAGCATGAAGACAGTTCATATGCACTACACCCAAGGCGAAAAGCTGAGCTAGTCCGCGAGTCGGCAAAGCCGCAACTTCCTTGCCGCGAAAGAGACATGCTCCCTTGAATTGAAGTTGCGTGTGGGTTGTGAGATGGCGCATATGTTTGAGATCGATCTATCGTCATGTGGGAGCCAAGCTTCACCTCCGCGCTAGGAGGCGTTGTGCAAGGGCAAATTCGTGGAGTGACATGTTCCTCCAAGGCAGTTAATCTTCGATATTCCGAGACAGCTGTACCAGCGAGCAATGCTGCTGGGGCGGAAGGTCGGTAGTGAGATGCGCCGCAAGCAGCTTTTAAAGCCCTTGCTAGCATCTTTTCTAGTTCGCGCTGACAAAAAGAGACTATGGAAAGCCACTTCGCTTCATCCTGTTTGCCACATCCAAGTCGAACCGCCGTAAGTCTTGAGTCCGCTGTTCGGTCCGTCTCTCAAAATGATTTCCTCCAGGAAGGCCGCACCACGTGAACTAGCCTATGTTTTGGTCTGTAGGTTGCACTTGCGGAACAAGCATCGCCGCAGAACCCGCAGCGTCGATAAAGCATGTGCAACTGCTTCTCAGCGCAGGCGAGGTGTCTTGCACCACTATTCTACGAGCAGGAGCGCCTTCTTGGAGTTCTATGCATGGTTGCTAGTGGCTTTCCGAGCGGATGAGATGGGTGTGATTGCTTTCGGCTAGGCTTGGTTTCTGGATGTGATTGGATATTCGCAGACATGCGGTGCAACTTGAAGATGAGATGATTCATGACCCCGCATGTCGGGTTTACTCAGCTCACTGTGGCAACATGCAACGGTGCTTTACTGCTTCGGGTCAAAGCTTACCGACAACAGGCGAGGACAGGTTGGGTGTAGCTTGTATTGCTGACCGTGCTTCGGACATCAGGTTGTTGCTACACTGACGCGGTGTGGCTGTCAGGCCCGGTTTTGCTTTGCATGTTTTATTATGAATTTCGCACCTGTGCAGATGTTACAGTGGCATGCCGCATTCCTGTTGTCGCGAAGTTGCTTAAACTGGAATTTTGGTTGCCTTGACTCGCACTCGATAGGAAGGCCTAAGATGATGCTCCTTCGTAAACGTTTGCTGGCATGACGCGTACGGCTGCTCCCTGTCCCTGTTTAGGCCGTTTGCTTCTGCATAGAAAGGTGTGGCACTTGAATGCAGACGAGCAGTCCCCCTTGCTCCAGACAAGGCAGGAGGGCAAGACATTGGATGGTCGCTTGTGTGAAGGCTCGGATAAAGTTGGCATGGGGGCTGACATATGCAGATATTAGAAGCAGGGTGCGAACAAAACAACGCGCAACGGCTGCTACACGCCAAAGGCGCGGCTCAGAGTGGTCGCATGTTTGGGGCATTGTGCGAGCCCTGGCGTTTGGAGGTCTCGTTTTTGAAAAAGCATCGGTGGCAGCCGAGGTATCAGATAACATCGACTGGGCGGTTTGCCAGGGAGTGAAACTGATCCCTCTCCAGCCTCCTCCTGAGGCACACGCGGTTTTCACGGCTGCAATGGCGCTTCATCTGGCTGACACGGGCTGACTTCTGAGGTTCTTCGACTTGGACGGGATCGTCAAGCTGAAATCTATGGAGCCTGCGACTTGCGCAGACATGCGCAGCTCCTCGTAGGCCCCAGAAGCCGTGACGCCGCAGGAGGGAGGTGGCATGGGCTGGCCTGAAGTTGACAGTGGGGATCTCATGGCTCGTCTCAAGCTGCAAGTTTTCCGTCCGGTTTCTCTTCGGCATGTCGGGTGAGCCAAGGCTTCAGCGTTGCCTACACATCATCGGACGTGATCGCCGAGTATCTAAGGCAGTTCTTGCTGCAACTGCACAGTGCGATTCATGTGCAAGCCCTGCGCAATCAGCAGGCTCGGACATCCCCCGAAAGAGGAAGACTTGAAGGCCCACTTTTTAATCGTGTTGCCAAGGCTTGCCAGGTCTTGAGGCAACCGCAATCTTTAAAGCGTTTGCGACAAAACGAGGAAGGCAGCTCACACGCCTCTTTAAGTGTTCATGTCAGTGGAGTTCCTTAACCTTGCTGAACGAGCGGAAATAAAGTCGGGCCGGACAAGCCTGGGCCTGGAGACATCATGAGACCTCGGATGACCTCGGCCTGCCAGGAGTATGAGAGAAAGGGCTTGGAACTGAGTCCGACAGGCGTTCGGTCGAGATTCGGGAGTCGTGGATACTCTGCCTGCACGAAAAAGTTGAAGATTTGCGTCAAAGAGCGGCTCTGAGGCAAGTCCAAGGGCAGCTTCGGCCGGCGCGGCTGGCCCATGAAGTGGTGGTACGACTCCGCCGGGGGCCCTCGGTCTTGACGGCCCGGGAGGGCCCTGGTTGCGGCGATTCTTCCGGGTTGGGTTTCCGGAGGTGACTAAGCGGACGAGAGCTAGCAGCTTATGCGGTAGCTGGGCGGGTGTCGAGTGCAGACTGCAGTGCAGACACATGAAGACAAGCAGCACAGGTCCTGATCGAGCTCGCGCTTCTTTTCGGCACAGATGCAACGACGCCGTTCATCCAGGAGCGGCCTGACAACTGTCGAACTGTCCTGGTAGTGGGATGTACCCGGCAGTGGACCAACCTGACGCCGGTTCGCGTTGGAAACTGCTGCGATGCAGATTCTGGAAGGTCTTGGATCCTGGCAGTGTAGAGTCCCGCTGCAGCTGCGGCTAGTATCGCCATACATAGCACAGTTCTCGAGGGTGAGGCACAGGGAGGGAGCGAGGCGTGTGAATAGTTGTGTTCTAACTCAGAGGACTGATTAAATTGCGCTCTGTGCCAGAAGCACAAGCTCTACCAGCAGATCGGCCTCCGAATGGGCCAGGCATCCGAGCGAGACGGAGGTGTTGAGCCTTGCTATGCTAACTTGAGGAAACAGCGCGGCCTTGCAATACCACCCTAGCACCCAGAACAGGCCGCGTTGTTTGGACTGGCAGGATCCCATTGAGTCCATCACGAGATGGTTTCGAGATCAGCTTCTGGGCTGGATTTTGCTGTTCTCCTAGAGTGGCAACCACCTTGCCTACCCGAGGAAGAAAAGAGCAGGCATGCCTTCCTGCACGGTCTGTTCTATGGTGCAGATGTAAAGACATCATGCTAGCAATGGATCCAAGATTTTGCAAGGCTGCAGTTTTGAGCTTGACAGGCCTCCGCGCTTGAAATCCGAGGCTATACTCCCGGAAGCTGCGCTGGAAGGAGGTGTACCTGGAGGCGCCGGAGAAAGGGAGAGGCTCTTTGAAAGATCGAAGTCTAAGGCCTTGTCTCCGGTCCTTGCAGACCTGGCCGAGAAGGCGCACCGGGCCCGGGCCCCCCCCCCCCCGCCCGCAGCTCTGCCGCGTGTGCTGCTTCCTTTTTGGAGAGCAGAGCCTGCGTCCAATGGTTTCAAACGCCTTGAGGGAATCGCATCGAGAACCATGCACCATGACTGGGCGACACTTTATCAACCTGATCACGTGCTTGCAACAAGTGCAAAGATCGAGGTCATTTGTGCCCCAAACTGACAACAGCTGGTGGAAAGCAAGGATAGCAGTCAGACCCGTCGTATCCGAAATTTCTCGCAGCAACCTGTAGGACTTCTGGTGCTTACTTACAACATTCTAAGTTTAAGATCTGCGGCGACTGTTGAAGTGGAAGATTGCCCCAGCCCATAGAAAAGGACGGCGATTTTGGCCTGGCTCTGCAGTGCTCGCGGAAGGCTGTGACTTGCGATGGTTCGTTGCCGCGGTGTGCTTCCAGAATCGGTGGATGTATTTCCATTTCCATTAGAGTTTTGGATTTGGCCCTCAACTCCACAGCCCAGCCATGTGCTTGATTACACGGCAGTTGATCGTCAGAAGTGCTACTGTAGTTAAGTGTGGGCCCCATCCACCTACAGGCTTCGAGCTTTTGAAAGCTGCAGCTCTGCAGGTCTATGAGCAGGATGCCCGTTCCCTCAGGAATGTGCGGAGCCAAGGCAAGTCCAGAGTCTGGCCTAACTTGCAGATGGTAGAAGATGAGCGAAGCTCAAAAGACTCCAACTGCCCGCGCCCCGAGCTGAGCAAAGGTATCTGCCCACTGCTGAGATAAGGTTGTCATGAACCTGGAACGACAGCGGCGACAGAACGGTGAGAAGGCAGGTACTCTCAGTAAAGACTGGTTACGTCTTGGGTAAGCCTAGGTGGGGAGTTTTTCTATTTGCACCCTTCGCTCATGTGTCTTTTGGTTCGACTGTGCGTGCTTACCGTCGAAGCACACGTTTCGTGTGATGATGCGATGCGGCCACTGGTCGTCTGCCCTGTGAACACGAACTATCGCCACAGAGGAGACTTGACATCCCCCTATCCTCGAAAGCACGCTTAGCGTCGAGAATGTTCCTTGCTTCCTTTTGGTTGACGGTTATGATGTCGTGTCATCGAAATCGTCTTTCGATCCGCTCGATTTGATGCATCATCGCCGATTCAGTGCTTCTTTCTGAAGCTGATGTCGTCAGGTTCGCTTGCTGTGCTTAAGTATCTTAAGTAACTCAGCTTGCGGAAACCGTGCACGGAAGGCTGTGGCCATCGACTCGTCGCTGCACCAGGCGGCTGATTATTTGAACTATAATCCCAAGTCAGGTCCCGGCCTCTCTTTGTCGCGCCCATATACCTGACAAGTTAACTGAAGCCCAACTCACATCATGGACAAATTCGTATCACCATGGGTTGATTTTTTCCGCCTCTCGCTGATTTGTCTTGAGTCTTAAGTCTTGAGCATCGTCGCGAGTCGTTGACACAGCTCTTCTGTCGGCATTGTCTGGGTCATCTTCCCTTCATCAGAAAAGGGGACCCTGCTCGTGCCTTCTTGGCATACTGGAGTGCATGCATCAAAGGCTCATTGGCAGAGTTGGGCTTGTTGAGCAAGTCCAGGTGAGCATGGTTATCTTTTTGCAGTTCCGTGAAAGGCCAACCAGGAGCGGGCCAAGGAGCTTCCCGTGACTTCGAGCCTCCTCCTGCGCTCTGCGGCGTTAGCGGACAAGGCCTCCTGCAGCCAGTGGGCTCTGACCGCAA